TAGGGTTGGCCAGTCCACCAAGAAAGTGGTGCTTTTCAACACTGTCAGTGCTTCTTATTCCTTGTTTCGGGTCCTTATGAACAAGGAACATGCCATAATGATTTAGAGTCTCATGAGATCTCTTTAAGGGAAAAATCTCAAACATAATAACCACAGATTATTTTGTGTATGTGTGGTTTTATTTTTTCTTTCTTTTCTTTACAGACTATCTATTTAACTTTGCATCTGCCGCCACAAAAAAGATAACTGAATCAGTTGCTGAAACAGCACAAACAATAAAGAAATCCGTAGAAGAAGGAAAAATAGATGACATCATTGACAAGGTACATTCAATTATCTTTTGGGAGTACAAATGTATGAAATTCGTTGTTTCCTCTTGTTTCTTCTTCTTATGAATATTTTTTAACCTGAGTAGAATATCATATTCTGATAAAAATGTTAATTGTTGAGATTCTTGATTTTTTCCTCTCTTTGTATAACAAGTAAGTATAATATAAATTACAGTACTTTATTTAAATAACTGGTTTTTATTTTAATATATTACAAGCAATACATTGATACTTTGGGGTTATACTAAACTTTTCATGTTTCGTGGCGTTTTTTTGGTTTTTTGGTGTTTTTTTTTTGAGACAGAGTCATATTCTGTCACCCAGGCTGGAGTGTAGTAGTGCGATCTCAGCTCACTGCAACCTCTGCCTGCTGGGTTCATGTAGCTCTTCTGCCTAAGCCTCCCAGGTCGCTGGGATTACAGGCATGCACCACCACACCTGGCTAATTTTTGTATTTTTAGTAGAGATGGGATTTCACCATGTTGGCCAAGCTGGCCTCTAACTCCTGGCCTCAAGTGATCCACCTGCCTCGCCCCTACAAAGTGCTGGAATTACAGGCATGAGCCACCGTGCCTGGCCAACTTTTCTTGTTATGAGTTTAACTTTATAACTGTTTGAGGATATATTTATGGCTTTGCATCATCTGACTAAGGTCTTAGCTCATTAGGAACAATGAGCTTTTAAGACTCTAAGGAGTGAGTTTGTTTTTTTGCATTGGGCCTATAGCATTTTGTTTATGTTGGTAAATATTTGAACTAAGGAAGTTATCAATTAAACCTTAGATATATTGCTATTTAACTATGTATTTTTTTAACAGACAATTATAGGAGATTTTCAGAAGGAACAGAAAAAATTTGTTGAAGAACAACATACAAAGAAGTCAGGTATGGTATAGGTTTGTCTTAATTAACGTGCCACGTTTTATTGAGCACCTGTTATGTGCTAAATACTACACTGTGGCTCTGAGAACACAAATATGCATATGCAATGGCCCCATCCTTTGGGAAGGGCAAAGACTAGTGAGAGAGACAAACCCATAAACTTCCATGATTTAAAGGAAGGGAATAGATTGTTTTTGGGTGAGGCCTGCCAGTGCTGGCCTCTCTGGAGTGCTGGCTGTGAAAGAAGCAAGTGAGCTTTCAGTTCTGACTTTTTTTTTTCCCCGAGACAGAGTCTTGCTCTGTCTCCCAGGTTGGAGTGCAGTGGCATGATCTCTGCTTACTGCAACCTCTGCCTTCTGGGTTCAAGCAATTCTGCCTTGGCCTCCTGAATAGTTGGGATTATAGGCACAAGCCACCACGCCCAGCTATTTTTTTTTCTTTTTTTATTTTTAGTAGAGACAGAGTTTTACCATGTTTGCCAGGCTGGTCTCAAACTCCTGACTTCGTGATCCACAAGCCTCAGCCTCCCAAAGTGCTGGGATTACAGGTGTGAGCCACTGAGCCTGGCCTCAGTTCTGACCTTCTACCATATGCCCAGCACAGCGTACAATATGCACATGACAGCCATTTAGCAAGTGGTGGCTCCCTTCCCATCTCTTCAAGAGAAAAAATGAAAGAGCTTTCCAGGGAGGTGAGTGACCGCACCTGCAATGACAGAGGGCCATAAAGAGTCACAGGTAGGCCGGGCGCGGTGGCTCAAGCCTGTAATCCCAGCACTTTGGGAGGCCGAGGCGGGTGGATCACGAGGTCAAGAGAT